GCCCAGTTTTAACTTCACCTTGCCAAAAGGTCCTCTCATCCCAAGATGGAGGGAGCCTCTCCTCAAGACAGTTAGGCAGCTCCCACCTCTACCGATAGTTCTGCCAATCTCTTTAGGGCCAGAGCGCTTTCTGTTGGCACACCAGCCTGACGGTGGGCCTGTCTGACGATCTTAATCAGGTAATGAGTGCAGTCACTAATCAGCCAGTTTGCAAATGGATTGTGTCGGGCAGCAGGTGCTGATTCAGGCTAAGTGGCAGCAGGATTCGGAGGACATAAGAAAGTGTTTTTACATAGAGGGTGGTGGATGTCTAGAATTCACTGCCTGAGTTGGTGGTGGAGACAGAGACTTTAAACTCCTTTTAAAAAGTGCCTGAATCTGCACCTTAAGTGCTGTAAGCTGCAGGGCTGTGGGCCATGCACAGGAAGATCGGATTAGAAAGGGCACCTGGGTGTTTGGTTTCAGCATTAACGAGATGGGCCGAATGGCTGCCTTCTCTACTGTATCATTTCTGTGGTTCTGTGAAATCTGTCTAGTTGGGCTCCTGACCCCAGAACTAAAGTCCAGCCCAAAATGTACATTTGAAAGGTGTGTGTGCTCTGTATAATATTCCATGATTGTTTTTCTGTTTTTGCTCTTGCAAAGTAAACCGTGATATTCTCAGATGACCTCTAATGATGGTTATTGTGCAGGGAGTCCTGGAGTTTTAAACACACTGTCATTTTTATGATGTTTAAGGATTTTAAATATAACAAGGCTAAAAGAGATATTTTAATTAGCTTTGTTGTGAATGTAACCGCTCGGGAAGAAATGATTTACATGGACAGGTAGTTGTAATTCTTGCTACAGTTTATACAGGCTGGATGAATGCAGTTTCAACAACACTCAAGAAGCTTGACACCATCAAGACAAAATAGCTCAATTAATTGGGAGATACACCCCATCCCCCACCTTCCTCGTTCACTCTGTCCACTATGAATGGTGACAGCATCTGGTATCTACAAGATGCACTTCAACAACTCACCAAACGCTCATTTGACAGCACCGTCCCATCCCACAACCAACTGGAAGGACAAAGACAGTTGTTACATGGGAACACCACCATGTACTGGTCCCCCTTGCAAGCCACAAAACATCCTGACTTGTAACAACATTGCCATTCCTCACTGTCTCTGGGTCAAAATCCTGGAACTCCCTTCCTAACAATGCTGTGGGTGTCCCTATACTCTGTGAGCTATAACACTTCAAGCAGGCAGCTCACCATCTAGTCCTGGCAATTAGGGATAGGCAACAAGTGCTGATCTAGTCAGTGACACCTTTTGTCCTGTGAAAGAATAAATAAAGCAAATTCAGAAATTAGTGGTGTAAAATCCTCTTTATGCTATTTTCAAATGATAGTCTGTGGGCACATACAGTCAGTGCTGTATATGACTTGGTACACATTGTGAATCAGTAACCAGCTGGTAATATACTCAGCCAATTTTTAAATAATGTGGATGGTGTTATGGTGATTTGACCTGGAACACTCTCTATTGCTTCTCTTGTACGTCCAGCAGGATCTGTAATATAAATGTATATGCACACATCAGGCCAAGTTTCTCCATTTGTAGAGGATAAATCTACGTTAAAGGAACACTTAAAGATTCCACAATCTTTTTCAGTACAATATTATTCACTACAATGACATTTTAAGATTATTATACTATGATGAGAGATATTGATAAATGAAATATATAGTGTGGTGCATTAAAACTTCATTTGATTTCAGGATGTTGGATCCTCCCCCCATTCCTGGGTTTTTTTCTAATGTAAAAGCCACTGTTTTACAGATGGGATGGTGTGGGGAGGAAGCAATGGTTTGAGAGGGGTGGTATGAGAGTGATGGAATGGTATGGAGGGATGAAGTGGGATAGGATGCAAGGGCATGGGTGAGTGGCATGAGGAAGCGTGGGATGGGGAGAGAATGGCACAGTTGGGGTAAATGAGACAATGAAATTGTTTGTGTGTCCCCATTTCATGAGGTTGAGGGGTTACCTTATAGAGGTTTATAAAATCATGGGGGCATAAGTAAGGTGAATAGCAAAAAAGTTCAAAACTACAGGAAATAATTTTAAGGTGAGAGGAGAAAGATTTAAAAGGGACCTGTTTTCTCATAGAGGGTGATTTGTATGTGTAATGAACTGGCAGGGGAAGTGCTAGATGCAGGTGCAGTTATAACATTTAAAAGACATTTTGATAGGTACATGAATAGGAAATGTTTAGACGGATATGGGCCAAACAGAGGCAAATGGTTACTGGTTTAGTTTGGGAAATCTAGTCAGCATAGACAAGTTGGACTGAAAGGTCTGTTTCCATGCTGTGTGACTCTATATGTGTAACTTAGCTGTACAGTGAACCGGAACTTATACTACTTTTATCTCTTGCCCTAGTTGCAAATCACTTATGCCACACAAGTGTTCATTAAACATAGAAAATAGGAGTAGGACTGAGCCATTTGGCTCTCCGAGGCTGCTCCACCATTCAATATGATCGTCCAACTGAGTAGTACCCCATTCCCACTTTCTCCCATAACCTTTTATCTCTTTAACCCTAAGAACTATACCAAGCTGTTTCTGGAAAACATTCAGTGTTTTAGCATCATCTGCTTTTGTGGCAGAGAATTCTGCCAGCACACCACTCTCTGGGTGAGAAAAATTCTCCTCATTTCAGTCCTAAATGGCCTACCCTCTGTCTTTAAACTGTGACCCCTGGTTCCAGACCCTCCAAACTCCACCCAACCACCAAGAATATCCTTCCTGCTTTTACCCTGACTATTCCTCTCCTCCCTTTTTGTTGTAGACTCCAGACAATATAATCCTTACCATTCAATCTCTCTTTATACATCAGTCCTGCCATCCCAGGAATCAGTCTGTTAAACCTGTGTTACAGTCTTTCCATAGTCTAAACATTCTTACTCAGATAAGGAGACCAAAACTGTACACAGGTGTGTGCACCACCAAAGTCTCACCAAAGCCCTGTATAATTGATGTTAGACATCACTGCCTCTGTACTCAAATCCTCTCTATGAGGACCGACATAAAATTTGCCTTCTTCACTGCCTGCTGCACCTGACCAATTGTTTTCAATGCTTGGTGTACAAGCACACCTAGGTTTCATTGCCCTTTCCCAATCTATCACTCTTCAGATAATAATCTGCCTTTTTGTTTTTGCAACCAAAGTGGATAACCTCACATTTATCCACATTGTATTTTATCTGCCATGTAGTGGTGATGGCCTAGTGATATTATCGCTGGACTGTTAATCCAGAGACCCAGATAATGTTCTGGAGACCTGGGTTCAAATCCTGTAATTTGAATTCAATAAAAATCTGGAATTAAGAATCTAATGATGACCGTGAATCCGTTGCTGATTGTTGGAAAAACCCATCTGGTTCACTAATGTCCTTTAGGGAAGGAAACTGCCACCCTTACTTGGTCTGGCCTACATGTGACTCCAGATCCACAGCAATGTGATTGACTCTCAACTGCCCTCTGGATGAGCAATAAATGCTGCCTAACCAGCGACGCTCTCATCCCGTGAATGAATAAAGGGGATTTGCTTACTTAATTTGTCAAATTCCACTGATACATTTCATATATCCGACTCTCAACTCACCCTCCCACATAACCAGGTCAGGAGTGAGGTGATGTACTCCCCTTTTATGTTGTGATGCACTATGGGGTCCACGTGGTGCCTGCCAACCACCTAACAAAAGGTCACATCATTGCTTAAGTGTAATAGGACAATGAGTAAGCGTATATCCTCCTTAAGAGGAAGTAAATGTTCTATGTTTTGGGTTTGAGGCAGCTCCAAATGGCATGCCAGATGATGCAGGTTTGAAATCAATACGGAAGACCCACTGCACTTTTATGATTAATTAATTAGCCTGGCTCGCCTGAGGTAGGCTGTTCATTGGAATTAGTATTCTTGCTTTTCTGAAAGCTAATGACAAAGGTGGTCTTAGCTGGACAAAACCAGGATGTTTAAAAACATTGGTTAAAAACTACACAGTGTCAACTGCTTAAACACCAGCTGTACCTCGGTTCTGCTGTGTTCATGCTTTCTGAACTTCACTAAGTTGGGAGTGTTTCTAAGGACATTTTAAACATGATGATGTGTTCTACATGTGACACAACAGGATTGACCAAAAAACAATTAACTGTGTTGGTATGTAGTGACCTGAGTGTAAAATCATTACTTTGATTGTAATAAGATGTACCTGCATTTACAGAAAGGCAGTATGATAGCAGTTAATAAGTCAACTGCATTGACCAGATCATGGAAAGAAAGCATCTAGGTAGAGTGAATCCTATAACTGCTCTTGCTGAGGCCTGAATGCAACAGGAAATCTGTTTAATTTTCAGATCTAAACACATGCCTTTTATTTATGTTAATTACATTAATATTTTTAAGAATATGTATTGTGCTGCAGTACATCTTATGTTCAATCTATTTAAACAGATCAAGAAGTGTTTAAATGGGGGAACGGCTGCATGTGGTATAGAAATGATACCAATGATGTTTTTGCAATGTTGTAAGGGTAGTTCAATAAACATTGTGTTAATGAGTGGTTAAAAATAAATTAAGTTTTGTTAACTGCTTGAACACCGGCATTTCTTTAACAGGAATTGATTTCACGCTTACTTTTGTGATAAATTGTTTCTTGTTTTCTTAAGGCTTCCATGCAATTCAAGGAACAAATGAAGGTAGCAATTTTGTGAAAGTTTTGGTTTGATGATATCCAGTTTGGTGTTTATTAAAACTTGCATATACTTCTCGTAAAGAAAAGATGAATAGAGTGAAAGTTAGAACTTTTCACTCAGCTTTTTATATAGTTAAAGCAAAAATCGCTGAATATCATGCTTTCAGTATCCAGGGATATAAACTGTTATGGATGCTGAATTCTATGGCCAACTTTAGGCACAATATAAATTTCATACTGCTTTTTGATTTTCTTGCAGGCTATAAAATTACGAGAAGCCTGTAGTTGTCCTGCCTTACCATCTGTGGATCCGAGGTTGGTCTTCAAGCTCAGCATGCAGGAGATATTGAAAGTTTCAAAGAAGAGGGAAGAAGCAATTTGCTCAGATTCTGAAACTAAACATCTTTCTCAGTGTTTTGAGCCTAGTCCAGCCATGATTGAGAGGATACCTATAGTCGTTCCAGTACAAGCACTCCAAAGTACACAAAACACTCATAAGTAAATGTATTTCATTTTTATCCACTTCTATGACATGAAAATCAGCATTTGTGTTTTTTTAAACTCCTAAGAGAAGTAGAAATGTTCTATGCCTATTGTGGTCCCAAAGCAAATATTCAATCATGTCCTGAATTTTGAGGATTTCTGTACTTATCCTCCTAATTATTTCATAATTGGGTTTAGTTCTTTTTTGATCTTGAGTGCAGACAAACACAGTGGGAAATCATTGTTGCTTAGAAAGACATCATTGTATGGGACATTTTTGGCGACAGAATATCAGCTTTGGTGTTGCAACTCACTCAGAAATAGTAAGAACTGCCGATGCTGGAATCTGACATAACATAGTGTGAAGCTAGAGGAACACAGCAGGCTAGGCAGCATCAGAGGAGCAGGAAAGCTAACGTTTCGGGTCGGGATCCTTCTTCAGAAAAAAGGCCTTCTTCTGAAGAAGGGTCCCGACCCGAAATGTCAGCTTTCCTGCTCCTCTGATGCTGCCGGGCCTGCTGTTCCTCCAGCTCCACACTGTGTAAACTTTGATGTTGCATTTTGCTCCAAGGAATTCAATGGAGCAGAAATGTACATTGGCTCCAAAGTTATTCTGTCTGGTGATGCCTTCTTTTTAAGTAAGCAGACTGGGTCTAAGTAATAACTATGTAAAATATAAAGTAAATGCTGTGGTGATAATGTTACTGGACTAATACTCTAGGGGCCTGCACTAATGCTCCGGACTCTGTTTCAAATCCTAGAATAGCAGCTGGGGGAAGTTAAATTCTGGAATAATGTACTGGCTTCGTCAGTAGTAAAGTTGCCCTAATCCCAGAGGACAAGATAGTTGCTCTCTCATTAGAGAGGGGGAACTAGTGAGTTTAACCTGGGCCATCGTACCTCAGGTGAGGGGAGAGGTTGAGAAAGAGGGATCTTCATGGTGACCTCAGCTGGTATAGGAAGCAAACTCGCATTGCTGGTATCACTGTGCACCACAAACCAGCTGTCCAGCCAACTGAGCTAAGAGTTTCATTAATAATAATAGATAAACTGTCAGATTGTCTTAAAAATCCACCTGGTTCACTATTGACTTTTAGAGGAGGAAATCTGCCTTCGATACATTGGTCCGGCCTTTTTGCGACTTCAGACAACAGCTTTGTGGTTGACCCTTAAAGGAGGTGTGAGGTGGCTTATTTGGCCACTGGGTGGTGGGTGGCTCACTACCACCCCCTTGTGGGAAATTAGAGATGGTCAAAAGATGCTGGTGTTACCAGTGACATTTTTATCCCAAGAAAAATAAGAAGAAAATCCAAAATGTAGTTGTGCAGGAGGAGGAAATTCAAACTGAAGAAGAAAAATAAATAAAACTGCACTTTTTAACTAATTGTATAACAATTAAGATTACCTAATGACCTGGTGGACTAATGGTAATGTCACATTTACAGTTATTCTTAACAGCATATCCAAGTGCATATGAGAAAAAGTCAAATTTCTAACCTGCAAAACTGTTAATTTTTTTCATTTTTTAAAAACTTTGTGATGAATTTTTTCTACTTTTTATTCTGCTTTCGTGCTACTGCAAAAATGAAGATCTTTCTGTGAATGGAGCTGTTGTGTCTGCTTTTCTGCAACTTTCAGAACATGTGCAAATCTCTCACCTTTATCGTTGGTTTTAATATAGGATTAAAAACAGGAGCAACGTTCCTGCACGGATTGCACTTTCATTAGCCTGCACCAATTTCATATAAAATGGCTTTTCTATTCATTGGTTGCTTATTAACTCGAATTAAGTTGTGGAATTTTGGTATATTTAAAGGAAAGGAAATATATATTTTTTGAGAACTATCAGTCGGTGCCTTTTCATTTACTCAATGTAGATACTATTGCACACGCAAACCAAACTGAAGGTGTTGCTTAAATAAAAGATGTGTAACATTGGGCAGGTCCTGTACAGACTGATGTTTCAGCAATGTTTTACTGTTTATTTTCCATTGTTAAGCTGTAAAATCGCCAAAAGAAAAATTGGTTGATTTCCAAATCATACCTGATCAATCTGTATTCAGACCTTTTGCTTAGATAGTGGTAAGTAAGTGAACAAGAACATGGCATATGAAATTTAATGTGGAAACATATAACATAATGTGGTTATTCACTATGGTAGGAAAAACAGAAATGCAGCTGACTTCTTAAACAGCAAGATATTGGGAACTATGGGTGGAAAAAGAAACTGCATAAATGCTATAAAAATATCGAGAGTTGAATGGGCCTGGCAAAACCCAAACTGACCATTGGTGAGCAGGTTATTATGAAGAAATTGCCATTGAATCAATGACGCTTTCCATCAATTTGCTAATGACAGAAAATAGACTGATAAGGTAGTAATTAGTCAGCTTGAATTTGTTTTTTTCGTGAACAGGATATACCTGGATAGTTTCCACATTACCACGGAACATTTGACAAGGGACATGGTAAGTTCTAAAGTCTTCAGTACTACTGCCAGAATGTTGTTAGGGCCCATAGCCTTTGCAGTATCAAGCGCTGACAGCCATTTCATGTCAAGTGAATCGTGTTGGCATTTGTGATGCTGGGGACCTGAGGAGGAGCCTGAGATGGATTATCCACTCATCACTTCTGAAGATGGATGAGATTACTTTAGCCTTATCTTTTGTACTGTTATGCCTGGACCTGTATATCATTTCTCATGTGGGCATTTGTGGATCCTTCTCTTTGTGGTGGTTGTTTAATTGTCCACCACTATTCAAGGATACCTGTGACAGGACTGCAGAGCTTACGTTTGATTTGTTAGCTGTGAGATTGCTTAGCCTTGTGTTTTAGCTTCACCAGGTCGATATCTCATTTTTAGGCAAGTCCGACGCTGCTCCTGACATCCCTACTTGCATACTTAATTAAACTGGAATTGATGCTCCAGCTTGATGGTAATGATAGACAGGTGCATATGCCATGTAACCCATGAGGTTACAGACTGGTTGAATACAATTTTGCTGCAGCATTTGGTCCATAGATTCCCTGTTTATGTTGCTAGATCTGTTTGAAATTTATATCTTAAATTATTCAAAGATTCTGCTTCCACCACCTTTTCAGTTTGAAAATTCCAAAAACGTCCCACCCTCAGATCAAAAATAATTCACGTCATCTCTGTTTTAAATGAGTGATCCCTGATTTTTAAACGATGACCCTAGTTTTAAATTCTCCCATTAGAGGAAGTATCCTGCCATTTCTACCTTTTGATGAGGGTATTCCATTTGTTGTGGTGCACAGAGACTTTAGCAAGAGTTTTGATTAGGTTCCTCATGGCAGACTTGTCAAGAAAGTAAGAGTCCATGGGATCCAAGGCAAAGTGGCTTGTTGTAACCAAAATTGGCTAAGAGGTAGGAAACAGAGGGATGTCTCTGTGACTGGAAATCTCTTGCCAGAGGGGTTCTGCGGGGCTCGATGCTGGGGCCTTGCTGTTTGTGGCATAAATCATGAGTTGGAGTTGAATGTAGATATATCATCAGGAAGGTCACGGATGACATGAAAATTGGTTGGGTGGTAAATAGTGCAAAGGATAGCCATAAATCGTACGAGGATATTGACAGACTTGTATAACCTCTCACTCTTCTAAGCTCTGATGGATACAAGCCTAGCCTGCCCAACCTTTCCTCATTAGACAGTTGTTTGAGTCTGGTAAACTGTACCGGAACTGCTTTCATTGCACTTGAATCTTTCTTTGTGTAAGGTGAGCAAAACTTTGCATAATACTCTTAATGTGGTTGCACTAATGCTCTGTATAACCAAAGTGTAACTTCCTTACTTTGTATCAATTCTTTTTGTGGTACATGATAATATTCTATTAGATTTCATAAATACTGCGAAATATTTCTGCATTAACCTTTGCAATTCATGCACTATGTCCCTCAGATCCTTCTGCATCTCAGAGTTCTGTATTTTCTCACCATTTGGATTGTATGCTTTTTTTATTCTTCCTGACAAAATGGACAGTTTCACATTTTTCTACACTGTACTCCATTTTGTCACATCTTTGTTTGCTCACAACTTACCTGTTTCATTTTGTAATGTTATGTCCTCATGACAACTTACTTTCCTCTCGATCTTTGTGTAATCAGCAAATTTGGCAGCCATACTTCCATCTCTTCATCTAAGCCATTTGTATAAATTGTAAACAGTTAAGGCCCCAGCACTGATCTCTGTGACATGTCACTCATTACATCTTTCAATGTGAAAAAGGCCAATTTACGGCCACTCCCTGCTTTCTTTTAGCCAGCCAAAGTGAGTTGCTGAACCATTGCAGTAGGCAATTAAGAGTCAACGACGTTGCTGTCAATCTAGAATCACGTGTAGGCCAAGTAAAGATAGTGGATTGTTCTCCATAAAGAGTGTTAGTGAGCCAGAGGGATTTTTATCACTCTATATAGCCATAGATCCAGCAAGGTTAATTAATTAGCTCTTTCTGATTTCAACCGTTGTCCTTCCAGGAATGATGGAAGTGGCAATGTTCTGTCTAAAGGGAATATTAGATTCCTATTTAAATGGATTTTCAACAGCTCGTCCCTTAGGCTGCATATGAGAGAGATGGTGCAGTGGCAGCAGTGAAAATGAGCTTCTCACAGGGGAAGGAGAGTAATGCAGAGCAGAGCTGTTCGCAGTGGACCTTAGAGATCTGAGGTATACAAGGGCATGGTTATAATGTCACTGGACTTGTAATGATCTATGAGTTCAAATCCCATCACAACAGATAGTGGTGTTTAATAAATAAAAAAATCTAAAATCTAGTGTCAATAATAATGACCATGACAACTATCATTAATCGTTGCAAAAATCCACCTGGTTCATCAGGAGATAAAGATGACTGTGGCCCTTAGTTTCACTGTCCAATCCTTCCAGGCAGGAGCAGGCAATACAACTAACAATTTGCACAGTAACATTTATTGCTGCTTTTTAAAGAGATAATGAAGGTTTTCTAAAGTTGACGGGGTACAGGGAGGGGACAGGGAGAGTTTTATTACCCTCTGTAAACAGAGAAGGAAGACTAGCATGTGCCTTTGCAATGTTAGTGGGCTTCTCTAGGGTGCTATCCACTGCATATGGCTAGCTTTACAGATATCTCATTGCAACAGTGATATAAATCGAAATTGCAAATGTTACCACTTAATCTGTGGTTTGTGCAACCAGTCAGCAAATCATTCAGTTGAAATGTTGGCATTCTGCCTACTGTTTGTCTTGTTACTTCAATCCTTCAGCAACCATGTCAAACTACAGGATAAGTACTTTGTGACAAGACCTATCAATCTTATACCTGTCTAATAACTCCACTCTACAATGCAGTTACACATGGCCAGGTTCATAAAATGAGAGCAATTTTGCCATGAGGAACATTCTTGTGCAGAGAACTGGGGTGCTAGATGCTGCCCCAACTATTTTTGAGGAGCACTTCAATATCACTGGGGTGTGTCCCAATTTGTGAGAGGTGGGTTTTTGCATCTGCCACAATCTCATCATCATAAAGGCAAAGCCTTTTACAGCAGAGAGTACATCAGCAGGAGGAGATGGGAGATGATCAGTGCATCCACATTCAGAGAGGCTTGTCATTGAGGGCGTTCTTTCAACCGGTTCACTAATTTCATTCCTTACCATTCTTCTGTTATGGATGATCGTAGCATACCCTTGGCTGCAATCCTGAATTAAAAGCCATCACAAAACAGCAATTCCATTGCAACTGCTGAGAACAAAACGTCAACAAGGGTGGCTGAGCGGTTAGCACTGCCACCCCACAATACCAGGGACCTGGAGTTTGATTCCAGCCTCCAGCGACCATCTGTGTGGGGTTTGTGCATTCTTTCCATGTCTGCATGGGTTTCCTCCCAATTTACCATGCTAAATTGCCCATAGTGTTCAGGGATGTGCACACCATGTGGGTTAGCCATGGGAAATGTAGGGTTAGAAAGGATAGGGTAGGGGTGTGGGTCTGGGTGGGACAATCTTCAGATGGTTGATATGAAATTGATGGGCCAAATGGCTGCCTTCTACACTGTAGGGATTCTATGATTGAGGTAATGCTCAACTTGTGCATTTCCTGTGTGCATGTGTGTTGTCAATTCATTCATGGATGTGAGTGTCACTGACTGGCCAACATTTATTATCTTTTCCTAATTGACCTTGAGAAGATGATGGTGAACTGTCTACTTGAACCTCTGCAGTCCATGTGCTGTAAGTTGACCGACAATGCCCTAAGGGAGGGAATTCCAAGATTTTGCACCAGTGACAGTGAAGAAATGACAATGTATTTCCAAATCAGGATGACCATAAGACATAGGAGCAGAAACTAGGCCATTTGGCCCATCGAATCTGCTTTGCCATTCAATCACGGCTGATAGGTTTCTCAACTCTATTCTCCCACCTTCTCTCCCTAACCTTTGATCCCCTTAACAATCAAGAACCTATGTATCTCTGTCCTAAATGTACTCAATGACCTGGCCTCCATAGCCTTCTGTGAATTCCATAGATTCGACAGTCTCCTGGCAGAGCACATTTCTCCTCATCTCCATTCTAAAAGGTCTTCCATTTACTCTAAGGCTGTGCCCTTGGATCCCAGTCTCTCCTGCTAAGGGAAACATCTTCCCAATGTCCACTCTATCCAGGCCTTGCAATATTCTGTAAGTTTCAAATAGATCCCCCCATCCTCCTAAATGTTATCGCATCTAGACCCAGAGTCCTCAAAGTTCTTCATAGATTAAGCCTTTCATTCCTGGGATCATTCTCATGAATCTATTCTGGACCTGTTCCAGGGCCAGTATATCCTTCCTGAGATATGGGGCCCAGAATTGCTC